AAAAAAAAACCAAAAAAAAAAAAAAAAACCAGAACTTATATCCCAAGTTAACTAATACATATTATGAGCTTTCTAACAACTGTAATCCTTTACAAACTTAACTTCCTTATTCAAATTATCCAGGGAAACAGGTTATTTCCACAATAAAGTTTCTGGGGTCCAGAACAACAGTTTCTGGCCCAAGACTTTGGAGCAGTCTTTGTGTGGAGTATTTCCATCTGTGCACCTGGAGACCCTCCCAAACACCTTGCGCAGATATTCCTTTTTTCATGAATGAGGAGTTTCTTTCTCAAGGCCTTCTGGTCTTTCAAGTCCCTTGGTAGTTTCCTCTTATTCGAATTCCTTCATTGTCTTCCTATTTGGAACATCTTATTCCTAAAGCGAACAGCTTAGAAGAAACTTTTAGTGATGTTATTCAGACCTCAAGGTAGTTTTGGTTGTTAGGTAAAACCTGTTTCACTTACTTAAATTCTACATCTAAACCCTTCAATTTCTTATATACTATAACTTTAATATGTATCCCAAACCCTAAAAAACAAACTTATAAATCACCTGCATATACCTTAATATAGACTTTCACTTACACTTAATTCTTATGCCTATAGAACCTTATGTCCAAACACCATAACTACAACTACAAATAATAAGTAAAAATATTCAAAACAATTCTTTGCCTAAATAAAATCAGAAATCTCTTTTTACCAGGTATTAGTCACAAATTCTAACCCTAAAAACAAGATCTGTAACCCACAACCAAGCAAAAGAAAGCCCTTTAAACATGCCTCAGAGTCATCACATGAGCAAAAGGGACAGGTCAAACAACGTAGTGGGAAGTGGAAAGATGGAAAATGAGTTTCCAGTAACTGAAAATACTTCGCATAAACGGGCTGTTTTCTTTTTTCATGACTGCACGGAATTCTTTGGCCGTAACAGCAAAGGCAAGACAGCAGGGCCTCAGCTTCCTAGACTCGCCCTGCGGCCCGGGGTCACCAGGACCCTGTCAATCTGGTAGGCCTCCAAGGCTGGCTCCCAACAAAGTAACAATCTTGCAAAATAAATTATGTGCAGAATATACACACTCCATATACATAAATACATGTGCACTCAGATACAAAATTATCCATTTTACAATTACGTCTTTAAATCTGGGTCCTTCCATAAACACTGTCCTCTGACAGTGTTACTTATGTAGTTTCCCCTCTGTCCATGGGACTTCCTGCAAAAGCAGACGCAGTCTGCTGCTCTCGTCCTCCTGGGGGGCCGCCCACTGCCTCTTCAGGTACTGGATGTCGATGCTGCTGGAGGCCCTGGCCAGCACAAGGGCCAGGAAGCTGCCTCCAGCCTTGTCTGGCTCACCCATGACAGCCATGGACACCAGCCTGTGAGCAAGAGGCATATAAGCAGAGAATCAGTGTACACGTGGGGGGTGTGCAGTTATTTTTGAATCTTCCAAAATATCTATCTTCTAAGGGAGGAGTGAAATGGATGAGAGATTCTAAAAATGTCAATAGTCAAAACGAAAAGTTAGACCAGAAATAAGTGTATGAAAACCTACAGAAAGCGTTTGGAAAATGTATTTCTGCATCTTAGAGGACTGCTGGATGGGCCACTCTGTGCAGGTCACTGACTGATAAGGCCTGCTGCGTTGAGACAGGCCTGAGGGTCTCACGCTGCCCTGGTCCTTTCTCCCCAGTTCAAAAGTAAATACCCTCCCAGCAGGATATCGGGTATAATCAGCAGTCCAGGCACGCCTACCCCACCCAGAGCCTCTAGCAGTGGGGTCCCCAGCGCCTCATCCTTGGTCTCCTGACACTTCCCTGGATCTCATCCCAGCTAAGTGCCAAGGCTTGCAAACCTGCGCCACAGCCTGGACTCACCCCTGAGCTCCAGACCCCCATTCTACCTGCCTCTGCATGAATGGCAACTCCATCATCCATCAAGTGGCCAAACAAAGGGCCTGGGGCCATTGTGACTCCCTGATCTTGCTCCCGAGTGTCCTTTCCCCACAGGAAGGCTGTCCCTATTTCTCTCTGATACCCACAAGTTTCCTGACCAGGCCTTGTCTCTAATCTTATCCCCTCCAACGGCTGACAGAGACTCAGAAACACACCTCCAACGTTCCCTTCAGGGCTCCGTTTGGCTCATCTAGCACCTCCCCAAACCTAGTTCTTGTCCTCCCAGCATCTGCAGTTCCAGGACAATGGATGTCTCCTCTCTGTGCTGTGCGAAGACTTGTTCTACCGTCTTTGGTCCACTGCTATTCATCCTTTGAGGCGTGGCTCAGTGTCATCATCCAGAAACCTGCCAGGATCCCCTGTGTCTCATCTGGGTTAGGGTCCCTGCTCCTGTCAGGCTTAATCACCACGTGGTGAAAACTATGTTTAGCCCACACCTGCCTCAATGCACTCCTCCCTCTTATTCAGTGGTGATCTGGCTTAGCCAGTGCTAGGACCCATCTCAGAGGTGCTGGGCCACCTTAGCGGGACCTGTGATGCAGCAGGCGGGGCGGAGAGTACCTCTGCTGTGGCCCCACAAAAACCTGACTGCCTTCAAATACTCCACCAATTCCACCCCTGCAGCCCAACTCCTGTGGCACGAGCCCGGCACACCACAACAGGGCCCCCCTCCGATACCACAGCACCCCCACAGAGGTGGGCTAGGGCAGCCGAAACTGCCTTGCGCCCTTGAGCACATGAGGTGAGGGCCCGAGATGTCCCTCCAAGGCCGCCACTCAGCACCACCACGGGCTCTTACTCAAGAGAACCTGTAGCATTTCTCAGGGTGAGGGGGTATGTCACCTAGAAGAACAGACCACGAAAAATTACTAGTTATTAGAATTTTCACTAATGACTTAATACTTCAACACTGTTGTTCCATTACTCACGTAAAATAGAGGTAACGCTTAGTTGTCAAAATTTGAAAATATCAGTAACGAATCAAAAACATCAGAGGCCTCTCTGGCAGCAGGGGGCAAATAAAATATTGCCCATTGATAAACTATGTCCAGGCATTTTTTAGAAAAAAAATTAAAATAGATGTATAAATACCAGCTAGTACTATCACTAGTCAATTTTTTTTTTTTGCAACCCATCACTGGTCAATTTTTAAAATGTCCTTCAGATTGTAAGTTGGACAGAACCCAAGCAGAGAGCCAGAAGACAAAAACTCAGCCATCACCGCCTCTCCTTTATGGAACACCTCAACACCGCCTGTGTTGGTCCAGGAGTGGGGACTGCCACTGCCAGCGCTCCATGATGGCCAGTCTGCTCTCAACCACACAAAACAGGTCAGTCATCATCAAGGATGTTAGCTTGACTCCAAGAGTGTTAAGTCTTTGCTTGTATCTACTCTAAATTCCTTCCTTTCAAACTGTTTCCTCTTGTCCTGCTTTTCTGTACAACTGGAGAAAGGTAACTGGGCACATTGTGCCGTGTTATGGCTGATAAACACCCGCACAAAGGTGCAAAGAAGGGTGGTCTGCCTGTCTCAGAGGCTCTTCTTGGCAGAAAACGGAGAAATGCAGGCTCAGCCCCATCTCCTTCCCTTGACACAGACACCACTGCCCCACAGCATGGCTGAAGGCTGGGGAGGGGCCTCCCCATGGAAGGAGGTCCTTGGGTTCTTGGGCAGAGACTGGAGCCAGGTCCCCAGCATGCTCTCCTTTATGGAACAACTCAATGCCAGTGAGAAGAGGTTCCAGGCTGAAGGGTCCCACACACAAGCATGGGCAGATATGCCCTGAACTGCAAACCTCATCTGGAGCCCATCAGACATGAGGCTCTCACCTCTCCGCTCAGACCCTCTGCTCCCCCTCCCAGCAATACAATCCAGCTCAGATGTGCTGCCTACCCCTACCAGGTCTGGATGCCCCCACCTGAGACTCTCATCTCCTAGGTCTTTGTCCAAATGGACCCTTCAATAAAATGACTCTTCCCTGTCCCATTCAAAACCCATCAGCTACTGTCCCCACTCCCAGTTCCTCCCTGTTTTATTTGTTTCCATAGCATATATTCTAGCACGTTTTAGGACTTACTTGCTTATTCTACTTATCTGTCTTCACTGTGGTGCCCTCGTAACCAAGCACTCAATAAATGTGCTCAACAAGTATGTGGTTATTCACTAATTCACTGACACATTTTTTGGAATAATTAACTGCAGGTGCATTATGCATTTATCTGTGACTCATAGTCTAGATTATGTTTAATATTATAGAGTTGCTTTATTAGAACAGAAAGAGTTGCTAAAGAAGAAACATTTAATTTGAATTTCTGAACACAGCAGCAGAGAGGTCCTTCTAGAAACTGGATTTTTAAAATAATTAGAATAACGTAAGTATATGTAGGACTCAAACTAAATAAATACAATTCATTTTTTTCAGATCTTATCCATATGTCCCCAACGTTCTATTAAACTATTACCTTTCCTTATTAAAAGGTATGGGACTTAGATATAGTCCCCTTTCCTCCAGGTTATCACAAAACTTCACAGTCAGAGAATTTATTGAAAAGAACTATAAAAATTTCAAGCCTGTAATCCCAGCACTTTGGGAGGCCGAGTTGAGCAGACTGCCTGAGCCCATGGATTCGAGAACAGCCTGGGCAACTTGGCGAGACCTTATCTCTACAATAAATAAAAAAATTAGCCAGGTGTGGTAGCACATGCCTGTAGTTCCAGCTACTTTGAAGGCTGAGGTGGAAGGATCACCTGAACCCAGCAGGGTGACGCTGGGGTGGCCATGAGTGTGCCACTGCACTCCAGCCTGGGTGACAGTGAGATTCCAACTCAAAAAAAAAAAAAAAAAAATCTCAAGAAAAAACACAGATGACAGACAATTGAAGTCAAGAGAAAGGGCTTCATATTGAAGCTTTTATAAATATTTCCATTTTGAAAAAAAGTAACAAAGAATTATTTAAAAGTAATACTAATGACAATGTACATGTCTTCACATTAATAATTTCTCATGAACTGAAGAGCAGGCTACCATGGGGCTGTGTGGCCATGGACGGAGGCCACTGATGGGGCTGAGCAAGAATGGCATCAATGTTAGCCGGGCTTGGTGGCTCAGCCTGTAATCCCGCACCTTTGGGAGGCTGAGGTGAGTGGGTTGACTGAGCCTGCGGGTTCGAGACCCACCTGGGCAGCGAGACCTCATCTCTACAATAAATAAAAAAATCAGCCGGGTGTGGTAGCGCACGCCTGTAGTTCCGGCTACTTGGAAGGCTGAGGCGGAAGGATCGCCGGAGCCCAGCAGGTCGAGGCTGCGGTGGCCGGGAGCGGCCACTGCACTCCAGTCTGGGCGACAGAATGAGACTCCAAAAAAAAAAAATAAAAAAGAATGACATCAATGTTAAATGACGTGAGTTACTAACCCCATGGGCTAGCTCTCTTTAGAAGCTAGAAGGAGCTCTTTGTATACACTGGACATAGATTGAATACATAGAGTGGCAAAAGAGCGTAACTAAGCAGCTCACAAAAGGCATTATCTTTTATTTATAGAATAATAAGGATGGGGAAATGTTACAAGATTAACTCCTCAGTCCAGCAGACTATTTTGGGTTTACTATCAAATAGTCATATTTTAAGGTGGTTTTGAAAACATTAAGTGTCCACCACCAAGCATGAACCTTCACGTAGGCTACGGACTCTGGGTGTGATGCTGTGTCAGTGTAAACCTATCAGCGGTGACAACATGCTCTCTGGGTGGCATGTCAACGCGAGGCCTGAGGGTGGAGGTGCACAGGAACCTCCACTCAACTGTGCTGTGAACATAAAACTTCTCTAAAAAATCAAGTACTTTAAAAATACATTATTCAAGTTTAAAAGTAAGTAGTTACATTTTAAAGTGCAACAACCTTATGATACATAAAAGAAGAAGAAGAAAGACTGTAAGTGGCGCTTCTGCAAAGTCCCTGATGACATCTTACTCTGAGCCCCGCCACTGACCTGTCTGGGGAGATGGACTGCTTAACAACAGGGGTCAGATCGCTCTGGAGGAGGTCCCAGATATAGATGGTCGATGTGTCATCCTGCACCAGGAAAACGGCAGGCCTGGTCGGGGACCACTGCAGGCCGGTGACCGCGTGGCCGTCAGTGCTACTGTCCCACTGCATGAGGGGGTCTGCAGAGTCCAGCTGGTGAAGCCGGATGCTTCCATCTGAACAGCCGGCCTGTGACCAGGAAGGATGGAAACTGGTCATCATGTTTCTTTTTTTAACTCAATCTCAGCAGCCAGGGAAATTTTTTAGAACATTCGTTTTCTTTAACTGGTATAGCAAAAACATTTATTTTTTGTTTTCCAAAAATAAAATTATAACATTAAATCTGACTTCGCAAGTTACAAAGGTGAGCACTCACCTGATTCTGATATACCTTATACCCTTTCCCTCCCCAAATAGCTGATAATCAACTGATTCTGTGAATATATAAATAGGTGTTTATTCTTAACAAAGTTGAATATTGCTGACTCAAGCACAGGTCATTAAGATTAGTTCCACTTCTACACTGTTGGTGGGAGTGTAAACTAGTGCTGCCTCTGTGGAAATCAGTGTGGTGATTCCTAAAAGCTCTAAAAATCGACCTTCCATATGACCCCGCAAACCCCCTACTGGGAATATACACTAAAGAACTCAAATCACTCTATAAAAAAGATACTGCACACGTATGTTTATCGCAGCATTGTTCACAATACCAAGATCATGGAACCAACCACGCTGTCCATCAAAAGAGGACTGGATTTAAAAAACGTGGCACATATACACAATGGAATATTACGCAGTCATAAAAAAGAACAAAATCATGAATTTCGCAGCAACCTGGATGGAACTGGAATTTATAATACTGACGGATCTCTCACAGAAACAAAATCTGAGTATCACATGTTCTCACTCATAAGTGGTCCTTGAACAACTATCATAATACTATAAGAAAAGGATTGACAGTAGTGGGAAACTATGGGGGGGTAGGGAGGGGAAAGGAGGTGGGATTAATGGTAGTCGATATCTGTCGGGGGGGCACACCTCATCAACAAGGGTAATTGCACGATGCATATTTGTATACCTAACCCTTAACTGTACTCCACAATTTTAAAATAAAAAATATGTTTAAAAAAATAATAAATAAATAAATAATAAAAAAAGATTGGTTCCATGGAAGTAAGTTACCATTCTAAGAAAATTACATACATTTGCACCAATAATATAGCTATATATTCCCCTTGGATTAAAATTTCTATAAAACCAAACTTAGCTGGTTTAGCTAAAAAAAAAAAAGTAATTATAAAGAAAAGATTAATTCTTTTTACTCAATGTATCTAATCCTTCACATGCCCAACAAAAGAAAATAAAATCAACAAGAATGGGAGTAAAATTCTAAAATGAAATACAACAGAAACAAATATAAAAACCGCCTGGGCACAGTGGTTCTCGCCTATAATCCTGACACTTTGGGAGACCAAGGAAGGAGGATAACTTGAGGTCAGGAGCTGGGGACCAGCCTGGGTAGCATCGCAAGAACCTGTCTTTACAAAAAAAAAGGTATAAGTTAGTCTGGTGTAGTGGCACACAGCTGTCATCCCAGCTACTTGGGAGGCTGAGGCGGGAGGATCTCTTGAGTTCAGGATTCAAGGCTGCAGTGAGCTATGATCGTGCGACTGCACAGCCTGGGGCAATAGAGCAAAACAGAAATGAAATCCTTAAAAAAGGAAAATCTGTATTCCAAATTAATAGCATAACCACACAGGAAGGAGGTATAAGAACTAAACCAAACAATTTCTGGACACTGTAAGTGAATGGTGCACCTTTGACGTGAAACCCAAGCAGAGCCCTAAACACTGAACTCTGCTCAGTAGCCTTCTTTTAGAGGCGTGAGAAATTCTGTATTCTCAAATAGAGCAAATATACAACTATTGCCCAGGAGGATCTCGAACCTGCGGGCTCAGTCAATTCACTCACTTCAGCCTCCCAAAGTGCTGGGATTACAGTCTGAGCCACCAAGCCCGGTTTCATTCTACTATCTTTATGAGATCCACTTTTATAGTTCCCACACACGAGTGAGAACATGCAATATCTTTCTCTGCCTGGCTTATTTCACTTAACATAAGGACCTCCAGTTCCATCTGTGTTGCTGCATATGACAGGATTTCATTCTTTTATGCCTGAATAATATTCCACTGTGTATATACACCACATTTTCTTTATTCATTCATCCACTGATGGGCACTTACATTGATTCCATATTTTAGCTATCGTGAGTAGTGCTGCAATAAACATGGGAGTACAAATATTTCTGTGATATATTAATATCCTCTCTTTTGGATACATACCCAGCAGTGGAATTGCTGGATCACATGGAAGTTCTATTTTAGATTTTTAGGAACCTCTATAATGTTTTCCATAATGGCTGTACTAATTTACATGCCCACCAACAGCGTATGAGGGTTCCTTTTCTCCACCATCCTCACTAGCGTCTGTGATTGCTCTCTTTTTGATAAAAGCCATTTTCACTGGGATGAGATGACATCACATTGTGGTTCTGATTTGCGTTTCTCTGATCATTAGTGATGCTGAATGTTTTCATATACCTGTTAGCCATTGGAGCGTCTTTCTTTTAGAAATATCTGTTCAGATCTTTTCTCCCTTCTTAAATTGGATTATTCATATTTTCTTGCTATTGAGTTGTTTGAACTCCTTATATACTCTGGTTATTTATCCCTTGTCAGGTGGATAGTAGCAAATATTTTCTCCCATTCTGTAGATTGTATCTTCACTTCACTTTGTTGCCTATACTTTTGAGGTCTCACACAGGAAATCTTTGCCCAGACCAATGTCTTGGAGTGTTTTCCCAGTGCTTTCTTCTAGAAGTTTCATAGTTTCAGGTCTTAGATTCAAGTCTTTAATCCATTTGGATTTGATTTTTGTGTATGAGAGATAGCAGTCTAGTTTTGTTCTTCTGCATATGGTTATCCAGTTTTCCCAACACTATTTACTGAAAAGACTGTCCTTACCCCACTGTAAGTTCTCAGCACCTCTGTCAAAGATGAGTTGGCTGTAATGCAATTTTTATCTGGGTCCCCTATCATGTTCCATTGATCTGTGTTTTTATGCCAGCACCATGCTCTTTGGTTACTCAAGCTTTATAATAAATTTTGAAGTCAGGTAAATAAACAAATACATTTTTATCTTTTTGTTCTTTGCTAGTTTTGTTCTTTTTGATCAGGATTGCTTTGGCTATTTGGGGTCTCTTGTGCCCCATTATAAAATCCATTAGGATTTTTTTCTATTTTCTGTGAAGAATGCCATTGGTATTTTTTATAGAGATTGCATTGACTCTGTAAATTGTTTCAGGTAGTATTGTCATTTTAACAATATTAATTCCTCCAATCCATGAGCATAGAATATCCTCCCTTTTGTGTGACCTCTTCTATTTCTTCCATCAGAGCTTTATAGTTTTCCTTGTATGGATCTTTCATTTCTTTGGTTAGGAATCTTAATTCCTAGATATTTTATATTTTTTGTATCTATTGTAAATGGGATTTTTTATTTTTAGATTCCAGGGGCACATGTGTAGGTTTGTTACATAGGTACATTGCATGATGGTGAGGTTTGAGCTTCTATTGCGCCTGTCACCCAGGGGGAGAGCATGGCACTCAATGAGTGGTTTATCAACCCTTCTCCTTCTCCCTTCCTCCTCCCTTTAGAAGTCTCCACTGTCTGTTGTTGCCATCCTTATGCCTGTGTGTACCTTTCTCATTTATAAGTGAAAACATGCAGTATTATTTTCTGTTTCTGTGATAATTCACTTAGAATGATGGCCTCCAACTACATCCACTTTACTGCAGAGGACATGATTTTCTGTTTTTTCAATGGCTGTGTAGTACTCTATGGTGTATATGTACCACATTGTCTTTATCCAATCTACCACTGATGGGAACCTAGGTTGGTTTCATGTTTTTGCTACTGTGAATAGTGCTGCAATAAACATGAGTGCAGGTGTCTTTTTGGTACAACAATTAATGCTCCTTTGGATATATATACCCAGTAGTGAGATTGCCAGGTCAAAAGTAAATCTATTTTTAGTTTGTTGAGTAACCTCTAAATTGCCTTCCACAGGGGTTGAACTAGCTTACATCTCCACCAACAGTGTATGCTCATTTGCTTTTCTCTGTAACCTCACCAATATGTGTTTTTTAGTTTTGTTTTTTTCTTTTTAATAATAGTCATTCTGACTGATATGAGATGGTATCTCATTGTGGTTCTGATTTGCATTTATCTGATGATTAATGATGTTGAACATTTTTTCATATGTTTGTTGGCTGCTTGTATGTCTTCCTCTGAGAAGTGTCCATGTTCCTTTACCCATTTTTTAATGGGGTTATTTTGTTTTTTGCTTTTCTCCTGTTGATTCATTTAACTTCCTTATATAGATTCTGTATATTAGGCCTGTATCATATGCACAGCTTGCAAATATTTTCTCTCATGCTGTACATTGTCTATTTACTCTATGGATGGTTTATTTTGCTGTGCAGAAGCTCTCTAGTTTAATTAGGTCCCGCTTAGCCGGGCTTGGTGGCTCAGCCTGTAATTCCGCCCCTTTGGGAGGCTGCAGTGAGTGGATTGCCTGAGCCCACGGGTCCAAGACCCGCCTGAGCAACTTGGTGAGACCTCATCTCTACAATAAATCAAAAAATAAGCCGGGCATGGTAGCGCACGCCTGTAGTTCCAGCTACTTGGAAGGCTGAAGCGGAAGGATCGCCAGAGCCCAGAAGGTCGAGGCTGCGGTGGCCGGAAGCAGCCACTGCACTCCAGTCTGGGCGACAGTGAGAGACTCCAACTCAAAAAATAAAAAAAATTAAAAAAAAATTAGGCCCCACTTGCCAATTTTAGTTTTTGCTGCATTTGTTTTTGAAAACTTGGTCATAAATTCAGTGCCTAGGCCAGTGTCCAGAAGAGTGTTTCCTAGGTTTTCTTCTAAGATTTTTGTAGCTTGAGGTTTTTTGCTTAATCATTATTCCATCTTGAGTTAATTTTTCTATATGGTGAGAGAAAGAGGTCCAGTTTTATTCTTCTGCATACAGCTAGCCAGCTTCCCCAGCACCACTTATTAAATAGGATGTCCTCTTTCCAATGTTTATTTTTGTCATCTTTGTCAAAGATCAGTTGGTTGGTTATAA